TGTGCAAATTCTTCTTTAATAAGATTTCTCGAACATTCAGGCCAATAGACGAAAATAAATAAATATAGTGTATAATAAATAAACCGGTCGTCTACTCAAATACGAGTAACCCCTAAAAATAACGTTTAAATTTTTTATCACTTTAAACGTTATTTTTAGTGACTACTCGTATTTGAGTAGAATCTCCGTTTATTTATTTTGCATTATGTTTATTTATTTTCGTCTACTGGCCTGACTATGCGAGAAATCTTATTAGAAAAAATCTATGCTCTCTGGCAGGATTTTGTCTTTAATAAGATTCATTAAAAAGTGAAAACGTTCATCGTGACTGGAGAATTCTCAGCGTTTGAAACAATGAAACGAGTCTAGCTTTGTTTTGGTTTATTGAAAAGTACAAGCCATTTGCCTTCCCCTTGAACGTTTATAACTCGGCCAGAGCAGGGATTAGCTGTAAGGTTGCTTGCGACTTGATATTTAGAAGTGTGTCCATAAACTGTCGTATCATCTGCAGAGTGGTTTACTAATGAGCTGGGAATGCTCTAAGTCACATCGTCTATAGCAATAAAAATGCAGAAGACCGATGTTGGAAAATGAGGACTGAGACAACGGATCAGTAAAGAAAATAAGTATTAATAAATCTATCAAGGATGCGACAAGGCTGAACTTGCAACCATGCTAATAAGTAATCACAGAATTCAAGACAGTATTTAACCAAACACTCACCTTTCTGAAAACCTTTTTCTTTACATTTTTACTTTCATCTTTTCAAGACCAAACGTATCCATAAACTTTCTAAGGTGAGATTTTATAAAACAAATTATTTTCATTGATTTCAAAATTATATAACCGTTGGGGAACATCCGGGTTCAGAAAACGTGGCTCAAAGCGTATTGTGAAGGAATTTTACTGACGCCACAATTTTCTCGGCCTACCAACAAGCAGTCGCTTTACCGCTTCAACATATTCGGGGGCATACCTACGTGACTCATCCTGGCAATATTAAGATTAATGACGTCGCGACTCTCTCCGCCAGCCCTTCTGGATATACTCAGATTAAAGATGAAATCACCGCCAGACAATCTCCTTCTTCTTTAATTCTGGCTTCATCAGGACCTACGGAGCCTATTTAAGGAATTGAAATAATTTACGAGAAGTCGATTATTAACTATTTTCCTGAAATATTGTTGCCCCCGGCCTAAATTCGTGACCCTACTGGAAGAATGAAAAACTCCAAATGGAAACCCAACATATTACCAGTGATTTCAGCGACAACAAATCCACAGCCGCCTTCAGCTACTAAAACATAAGGACCAAGAAACCTTTCATCTAAATCCAACAATGACAAAAGAAGACCTCTTTCGAAGTGATGTGTTGTTTCTCTAACATCCCATTTTCTACCTTTATAAATCTTCGGGTATTTAGCCTTTTAAAATAAATTAACAATATCGAATACAAATATATTTCTTTGTTTACATCTGCTCGGGAATATATCTGTTTGTTTACATCTGCTCGGGAATATATCTGTTTGTTTACATCTATGTTCTTGATTTGTATTATTTGCAAAGAAAGGAAAGGTTTTCATTTTTACAGTGTGCATGAATATGAAAATCTTTTCCTTATTTCATCGACCTTGTTACTGGCTTAAAATATCATATTTTCGGCACCACATGCACTAACATTGTGCATGCCCAGGATAAACCTTAACAATTTTTAAAAAATAAACTTTGTACAATTCTCCACCCGTTTTTATCTTGTTATGTGTACCGCTAATGTTCCCAATAATTTGGCTGAACAAGAAACCATGCAAACGAGTACTCACAGAAATCTACACAGCATTTCAACAGAGGTTTATTCTAGAAAAATTCTCACCTTTCTGATAACCTGAAAGTCGTTTTTTATTTCTTTCATTTTTTCAAGACCAATGGCATTTAAGAATCCCTCGGAGGGTGCAAATACACTGACATCCATTGATTCATCCTTTGCTTGGTCCAAAAACTCCGGATCTAAAGATAGGATGTCATAGAATTCCCTGAAAAAGAAAAAAGAAAACAGATTATTAATTTTCTGCTAATGTTGACAATATATGAATCAATCTGCTGGTTTATTGTCTGATCAAACTCTATATTTTGGGGGAAAGTAGCTTACCCAATTGTTTCCTTAGCAAGAGGCTTATCGTTTAATTATTTAAGGTAAATATCAATAGGGAGGTTCAGATCCCAAAAACATGCCCGACGTCGTAATTCCAAGGGACTTAAATTGGTCTCGCAAGTCAAACGACAATGACAGGCGCGTAAATGAAAAGGGTGAAAAAAGGGTAGAAAAGTTCACATCACAAGTCGTTATGCACAACTACCTGCTTTCCACACAAACAGACAAGCGATCCTGTGTTTCATTGTAACGTTCCTTTATTGGGGTGAGAAAGGTTGTGATTAGTGAAGACTGGTAGCAACGAGCAAACAATTACCGTATTTCAATGACTAATAAAGTCGACCCGACCTTGGTTCTGATTTCACTTTTCGAAAGACAACAAAAAGAAAATAAATCCGTTTTTTTGAGGTAATCGTTTACTCGTTCGTCGCCACATTATCCCCAGCATAAAGAGAAACTGAACAAAGCAGGGGTAGAAGAGGATCTATGTCTTACAAAAAAATATTCGCGAAAAAGGAACGCAATGCATATTGTTGTTGTTGTTGCTATTATTAATATTGTCATTATTATTATTATTATTGCCATCTTTGTCCTTTGTTTGCCTCAAGTCTCAATAACAGACAAGAAGACAAAAAGTTGTTTTGCAACAGGAGATGCAAACAGCTGAGATGTCATGCAGTCAGAGAGAAAATTAAAATGTAATGTAATTGCGTCCATTTTAAGGCGAGAAATTTGCGAGCTGTGAGAAGTTCTCGTAAGTATGATGTTTTTTCCAAATCTCATATGTTAAGGCGACCTGAAATTTGATCCACATACTTTTAGTTAGTTTTGATCTTCTCACAAAATCCCAATAACAACAAAGTTCTATTGTTGCCTTCAGACGCGACATTCTGATTTCTATCTCGAAATCCTTGTATTTATTTAGTTTATTAAACGTTTTCAAAGATTTGATTTTGTCGACTGGGTCAGCATATGAAGCAGAAGACATGTATTTTCAACAGGATTTTTCACAATTATGTGTCGTTGATTTGTCTGAACGCTGAAATATGAGAGAATGTTCCGACCAATTCTCTTTGCGTGGTGAGGTTGAATGCGCATTGATCAGTGTATGTACTGAACAGACCCATCATGTTGCTGTAATTGCCCTGTTTGCGCCAGTTGATCCACACACAGATAATTATGAGGCCATTGTTTCTGAATATGCGCAACATAAACCCTAGTATGGGCACCTGTTAATTTTCAGGGTATTATTTTTGTCTTTCTTGCTTGGAAGGCACTAGTCTTAGGCAGCAGTTTCAGTTTCTGGTGTTATTATTATTATTAGTAGTAGTAGTATTGTTTTATTTCTTTTGGTTTCTGGTGTATATTCATTTCTTTCCGGGTCCCGACCAGAGACCTAAGGTCAGAAATGGCATTATCACATTTTCCACTGAGCAGTTTGAAAAAAAATATCGCACATTTTTTGCATAGATAAAGCCCTTCGTAAGGCTGTACTTGTGAGTACATTTTTTTTTGTATTCATTTAAGGCATGGACTACAAGAGATTCCTTCAATTGTTAATGTCCTCATACAGCACATATTTGAAATTTCGATTTCCTTGTAATTTGATAGATTTGATGTACCATTTTAAGAATTATTATTATTATTATTATTAAGGTCATGCTGATAATAGGAAACGCGCGTGGAACTATGCCAATTATATGGGAAAAATAACTGAATGGACAGGAGTTTCACTGAATGATTGATAATGTTTAGATATTGTGTAAGGTGTTGGATATTTGTCACTCAATCTCTAGCGATAAGAAGCAGAAATCTGGTATGAAATTTAAATTCATGAAAGAAAAGAAAAATAAATTAAAAAAAACAAACTGAATGACAATGATACAAACAAAATTCTATGTTTTTTTTTTAGATGAAGCATTGTTGCTAAAAAATTACAGTTAAAAAATTTTTTCCCAGATAACAAAAGCCCCATCACTTAAAGACCTCCAACCTCAGCAACGACTAAAATGAATAGAAAATGCAACTAGAAGAGAAAATGGTGATACAATCGTGATGATGACTTTCCACTGAAAAAAAAAAAACAGTTTTAAGAGAATGGTTTTATAAATGTCAACCGACGACGAAAATTGAATGTTTCCTCTATGGAAACGGTCGATCTTATCATTAACTTTACAATTGTCTATTAGTATCACAACATGATTTTTACTCTCTTTATTTATCGCAACTTTACTGAGGTGGTCATTTTACATCTGTGAGTAGGCAGCAATGATTAATAATGATAATAATAATAATGGGAGAAAAGGACAGGGCGGCGTGGGTTCATGTCTTTAAAATTAAACGACACTCTAGTTTAAAATTCCTCGTCTTTACCTATGTTGTTTGTTGAAAGTCAGAAATGAATACGATGAAATAGAAAAAAACAAAGTCATAATTCAATTAGGATCTCTTGTGACGCTTGGCGCTACATAATCATACTTTTTCGGAACAAAAATGAGTCAGTGTGAGAAAGGTACAAGCAAAGTGGTGCGAAACTGCAAGATGTTCGTTAAGCGTAGTGTTTGCGAAAGTACAGACTTCATTAAAAATATTTTAACGAGTTCTTTATCAAGTGAAGATTAATTTTATGAATGGAAAATAAGACATACGATACAAAAAGGAAACTAAAATGTGTACCCATTGTAGAGGTACTCATTGATGGCAGGCGAGCATTTACAGCACGACGTCAGAGTTTTGTCATGACTTGAACAGTAATATTCCGAGAGAGGCCGTGACTGAAATAAAAAACTTATGACAACATCAAATGTTTGTTGAAGTGATAATGACACGAACAAAGATCGATTTATTGTCATTTACTTTATCTGGTGATAAATATAGACATAGATAGATAGATAGATAGATAGATAGATAGATAGATAGATAGGAACAAGGATAGAAATAAAGAAAGAAAGAGATGGTTCGATAGATAGATAGACAGATAGATAAGAACAAAGATAGATAGATAGGAACAAAGATAGAAATAAATAAAGAGATGGCTCGATAGATAGATAGACAGATAGATAAGAATAAAGATAGATAGATAGATAGATAGATAGATAGATAGGAACAAGGATAGAAATAAAGAAAGAAACAAACAAACAAAGTAAGAGATAGATAGATCGAAGGATAGACAGACAGATAGATAGATAAGAACAAAGAAAGAAAGACTGAAAGAAAGACGGAAAGAAAGGAAGGATAGATAGATAGATAGATAGATAGATAGATAGATAGGAACAAGGATAGAAATAAAGAAAGAGATAGATTCTAACTAAAATGCACACACACACGAATACACACACACACACACACACACACACACACACACACATATATATATATATATATATATATTATTATGTTGTAAGGGTCTTTTGGTACCCAAATTGTTCGTACTTTTTCCGTAGTTTACGAGTGGGAAAGCATTTTAGGCAGGCAGTTTTTTGTCATAAAGTGCTTGATGTCAAAAGGTAAAGAAAGAGCGTAGATAGAATTAATATGGAGAAACTTATCACTTAACTAAGTAGTGTTGGTTGAGTCATTCCGACTTCGAAGTTTCGTGAATGCATTGCAGTTATGCTTTCACACTTCAAAGAGAAGACAGCGCTGAAGAATGAAAATATTCGAAGTCAGCATGACTGAACTAACACTACTCAATTAAGTAATAACTTTCTACACATTAATTACATAGATAGATAGATAGATAGATAGATAGATAGATAGATAGATAGATATATTTCTGACCATGAGACCCGTGTTCGAATCTCACCAAGATCCATTTATCAGGAAGGAGGCTTCCTGATATTATCGGTCTGGAGGGGGTGATCCCAGCGTGCGGTACGTTTGGAAAGTGCCTCAAAACCTTACCGTAGTTGACCCAAATTGGGTAGACGAAACACTTGGTGCTGTTGTCCTAGCAAGAAGTCACAAGTTATCGTGGCCGAGGATTTGAGATATATATATATATATATATATATATATATATATATATATATTCAATTAATTTTTTTTTAAATCTAATAGACGAAAGCGCTTGGATATATAAAAGTTTGGACAGTGTTTTTTGAATACATTACGTCAAGTAAAGTAAATACATGTAAGAAAGCGGGAAAAATGAATAAAAAATCTAATCGCAGTCAATTGTCGGTCGTCTTTTATAAAACTAGATAGATAGATAGATAGATAGATAGATAGATAGGAACAGAATGAGCTTGATATATAGATATACAGATAGATAGGAAGAGAGTGAGCTAGCTACATAGATAGACAGACAGATAGATAGGGACAGAATGATCTAGCTAGCCACATAGATAGATAGATAGATAGATAGATAGATAGATAATAAACAGTATGAGTTAGCTCGCAAGATAGACACACAGATAGATAAAAACAGAATGATCTAGCTAGATAGATAGACAGACAGATAGATAGGAACAGAATGAGATAGATAGATAGATAGATAGATAGATAGATAGATAGATAGATAGATAGGAACAGAGTGAGCTAGCTAACCACATAGATAGATAGATAGATAGATAGATAGATAGATAGATAAGAACAGAATGAGCTAGTTATTTAGATAGATTGATATATAGACAGACAGATAGATAGAAACAGAGTGAGCTAACTAGGCACATAGATAGATAGATAGATAGATAGATAGATAGATAGATAGATAGATAGATAGATAGGAACAGAATAATTTAGCTAGATAGACACACACACAGATAAAAAACTGAATGATCTACCTCGCTAGGTAGCTAGATAGACATATAGATAGGGAGAAAATGAGATAGATAGATAGAGAGACAAATAGATAGGAACAGAATGAGCTAGCTCGCTAGATAGATGGTAAAAGTGAGGTGAGAAAATTGACCTCATAGTAATTTCTCTAGACAAGCAATGAACCATATTGAGGTCGGTGTCGGATGTAAGATTATCGACGGTGAATTGTGAGTAAATTTTTGACAGCCGACACCACATTTATGGTACATGTCGATTTCATGTAATCATTGTCTTTATAAACGATCGAAATATTGGCGTCAGTTGCCCTGACAATTTTGATGGCTTCACAATCAGACCAGCCTCCTGCTTGCCCGAGCCATTTACCGCTTCCACCTCTATCACATTTAAAATCGAAAACTTTATTCGAAATGGAAATCTTCCAGACACGATCAAAAGAATTACTGACGTGAGCTTCCAATGTTTACGGGTGAAGCTCAATGGTTAAGAAAACGACTTCTGCTAATCAAGGCTCTTTAATGACCAGGTTTGCAACATCTTTTAACTCTCCTTTAGAAAAGGAAAACATTCATTTTCGTCCTGGGTTAAATGACATCCAGAACAATCGTTTAACGTCCACTAGTCTAAAGAATATTGGTCTCAGGAAAACTCGTTTAAAGAATATATGCCTAAGAAATATTCTTCGAGAAAATTATGGTCTAATATGTTATTATTACTATACAAAGAAAGTGTGACAATAAATGCTTATAAATGTTATGGTCCGGTTCCTTGTACCACGGTGATAGTCCAAGGTAGAACCAATAAAGAAGAACTCGAACACAGGTATGGAACAACACAGATACATTACAAACAGGAATATATACAGAGAAGTAGAAAGGGTTAGTATGAACAATCAGGTTTAGTAGAGAGAACAATGTAGTCTCGACCAGTATCACTATTCCAATGTCTTGCAGTAATTGTCTGAACGCGACTCTGTTTCGGACTGCCTCTGACTCGACTCTTGACTCGACTTGAACTACTGACTCGTTTTGAACTACTGACTCACGATATTGAGTCACCCCCCCCCACCACGGGGGTGTCATGTGGCACAAGGCCTTTTTAACGTGGGCACTTCCGAGCCATTAGGCTCGGCCAAAAAATAGCCCATTTGAACCAGTATAAACGGGTTCAGGGCCGGTTTTACCTCACCGAAGGAGACTCCGCCCTTCGGCGTAGCCTCCTTCGGGTTCCTCCCGCCCGTAGGAAGAGAGTTCAAACCGAGCAGCCTGTTCAAAAGTGAACTACTGACTCACGATATTGAGTCTCCCCCCCACTGGGGAACCATGTGACACAAGGTCGGTTTTTTATTGTGGGATTCCCCGAGCCCGTGGGCTCGGCCCAAAAATATGCCCGTTTGAACCCGCATCAACGGGTTCAGGGCCGATTTTATTTCCCGAAGGAGACTCCGCCCTTCGGCGTAGCCTCCTTCGGGTTCCTCTCCGTCCGGAGACAGAGAGTTGAACCGATCAGTCTGTTCAAAAGTGAACGGCTGACTGACTCACGATATTGAGTCTCCCCCCCACTGGGGAACCATGTGACACAAGGTCGGTTTTTTATTGTGGGATTCCCGAGCCCGTGGGCTCGGCCCAAAATATGCCCGTTTGAACCCGTATAAACGGGTTCTGTTCAAAAATGGGTCACGATTAGTCTCCCCGAAGGAGACTCCGCCCTTCGGCGTAGCCTCCCGCATTCGGGTTCCTCCCCGTCCGGAGACAGAGAGTTAAACCGAGCAGTCTGTTCAAAAATGAACGGCTGACTCACGATATTGAGTCTCCCCCACTGGGGTCGGTTTTTATTGTGGGATTCCCATGTGACACAAGGTCGGTTTTTTATTGCCCGGGATTCCTTCGAGCCCGTGGGCTCGGCCCAAAAATGAATATGCCGATATTGTTCCCCCACTGAACCCGCATCAACCCGGGTTCAGGGCCGAGGCGTTTATCTCCCCGAAGGAGACTCCGCCCATCGGCGTAGCCTCCTCCTCGGGTTCCTCTCTGTCCGGAGACAGAGAGTTGAACCGATCAGTCTGTTCAAAAATGAACGGCTGACTCACGATATTGAGTCTCCCCCACTGGGGAAACCATGTGACACAAGGTCGGTTTTTTATTGTGGGATTCCCGAGACCGTGGGCTCGGCCCAAAAATATGCCCGTTTGAACCCGTATAAACGGGTTCGGGGCCGATTACCTCCCGAAGGAGACTCCGCCCTTCGGCGTAGCCTCCTTCGGGTTCCTCTCCGTCCGGAGACAGAGAGTTAAACCGAGCAGTCTGTTCAAAATGAACGGCTGACTCACGATATTGAGTCTCCCCCACTGGGGAAACCATGTGACACAAGGTCGGTTTTTTATTGAAGGATTCTCCGCCCATTCCCTCTGAGCCCGTGGGCTCGGCCCAAAATAACGGCTGCCCGTTTGAACCCGCATCAACGGGTTCAGGGCCGGTTTTTTTTATTGTGGGACCTCCCCGTGAAGGAAGGAGACTCCCGCCCATCGGCGTAGCCTCCCGCCCATCGGTTCCTCCTCTGTCCGGAGACAGAGTTGAACCGATCAGTCTGTTCAAAATGAACGGCTGACTCACTGTTGCCTACTCCTGAGGCGCAGTATTTATTAAGTATAGAATAGTCCATTATTATTATTATGGGTAAGATCCCATAACAGTTATTATCATACTTTTAAACAAATCAATTCACTCCCAAACAAGGTAATAATTCCACTAGGACGCAAGGTGGCTACTAAGAGTGAAACTGAATTAGAATACGTTAGGAAGGAACCGGAAACTCAATCATAAATTAAAAAAAAAACAAAAAACAAAAAAAAACAAGGGGAAAACCTTTACGTCTGTCTAAAGAAGCGGAGAGGAATGTGGCGAACCTATTTACTCCTATTGAAGAAAAAACAATAAATTGTAAATAATATTTCAGGTTTTAGGCGAGACCCTTAGAAATATCGAGTTGAAGAAGACTTTTGAAGAAACTAGAAACCCAAGCCTCTACTCCTGTTCAGACGTTAAGGGATGTGAACCGGGCGATAGGCAAACCTATCTACTTCTGTTTGGTTTAGTTAATGAACAAAATGCGGTTTTACAGGCTGTCCGATGACAAAAGATGATCATGCAGAACAGTTTTGTTGTTCAGCAGTAGTGCTCCATTACAGGACGTAACAATATTTCATATATTATAATTAATATTGTGAATTTTCTGTACCTTTCTCCAAACGAAGCTTATGTAAAGCTAAAGTAACCATTTATATAACAAACAAGTAAAGCCGGGCTTGCTTGACATGCCCGTCCTATAAGTTTATAGGGAAGGGCCATAAACATTACCCGAGCGAAACGTGTAAATACTAAGAGAGAGTATAGATGCTAAGCTACTATTAAACTGGTGGTGAGGAAGCAATACTTTGACTACAGGGAGAGCCGACAAATAATTTGCTCAGATAGAGAAATGTTGATGAATGCTTAAATCATCCCATCATCCTTTATGGACATATTGCTAGTATATAAATACATTTTATATATATATATATATATATATATATATATATATATATATATATATATATATATATTCTTGGAAGACAAGTTGTTGATATTTGTCTTAGAGATTATTAATTTTCTGAGTTAATTCTTTTTGTCTGCCAGTGTCCTTAATATTTTCTCCTTGAGTAAATGGTTAGATAAACATCTTTCATTGATTTCTACCTTCCAGTACATTGAAAACAAACAATCACTTACAAGCAAACAATCAACCGAATGCAGGGAAAATAAAAACAGTGTGTAAATTTTGACTAACACCATATATATATATATGTGTGTGTGTGTGTGTGCGTGTTGGTGTGTGTATTCACTTGAAATGATATTTTTAGTGGATCCTCCTATTTGAGTGGGCGCTCCGTTTAGTTTTTTCTTTCGTTTTTCGATATGAATGTTCGAGAAATATCATGAAAGAAAAATTTACGCTCTCCGGCAGGAATTGAACCTGTATCTCTCTGACCTAAGGTTTAACCAGGTGCTCCTTAACGCACAGATATATATATATATATATATAAAAATTCCAAGAGGATAGAATCCAGGTCGAACTCACTGTCTGATGAATTGGATCGTGATTGCGATTCCAATGTAATAAATTATAACCATGGAATATTATTATTTGAGCCTTATATATATATATATATATATATATATATATATATATATATATATATATATATTGTTTTTTTTCTTTTGGTTTTATGAACGAAGTTCTATGATGGGATTTTACTTCTTATGCAGGCAAGTTAACTGCTGATGATGATGGAAAACCATTTACTTTGTCTGGTCTGGCGGAACATTTCGAAAAATATCACTCGTATTTATAGGCTTGAATCTGGCAGTCACGCTTCTATTTCTTTTTTTATTCATTTTATACTGTTATCTTTTTACATTGAGTGGTGATTTTTTAAACTTGTGAGTACCTGATAGCGAACTTATATATATATATATATATATATATATATATATATATACGTTCGTATTGCGCATGCGCATGTGGCCATAATGTATGCCATTTTTGACTTACCTGAGAAATGGAGTTTCCGCCATTGTTTCGGCCACTGATTTGTATGGGAAAGCCAAGACTTCATCTATAACATGAAGAACGCCATTGATTGCTTGAATATCTGCCGTAGTCACTCGGGCTTTCACGTTATTACTGATTACGTACACTGAAAAGATATACAGGCAAAATATCAGCACAAATTCACAATAAATTTACATTACAGTAAGAAGTATTTTACAACACCGGTTTAGTAACCATCGCTTTGCAGTAATGACACAAATTTCAATAATTTTACATTGTTTGCTTTATCTAGTACATGAGCAGTCACTTAGTATATATCGAAACTGGGATATTAACAATAGTTAAACTGCCAGTAACTACGGAGGAATGGCCTAGTGGATTAAAGTTTAATGTGATAGTAATTGTAATTAATGGTAGAGTAATTTAATGGTATAGTAATTATAATTAATGGTATAGTAATTGTAATTAATGGTATAATAATTTAATGGTATAGTAATTGTAATTAATGGTATAGTAATTTAATGGTACAGTAATTGTAATTAATGTTATATTATTTTAATGGTATAGTAATTGAAATTAATGTTATATTATTTTAATGGTATAGTTATTGTAATTAATGGTATAGTAGTTTAATAGTATAGTAATTGTAATTAATGGTATAGAAATTTAATGGTATAGTAATTGTAATCAAAGATATAGTAATTTAATGTTATAGCAATTTAATTGTATGGTAATTGTAATTTAATGATATAGTAATTTAATGGGATAGTAATTTAATGGTATAGTAATTGTAATCAATGGTATAGTAATTGTAATTAATTGTATAGTAATTGTAATTAATGTTATATTATTTTAATGGTATAGTAATTGTAATTAATGGTATAGTAATTTAATGGCATAGTAATTGTAACCAATGGTATAGTAATTTAATGGTATAGTAATTTAATAGTATAGTAATTTTAATTAATGGTATAGTAATTTAATGTTATAGTAATTGTAATTAATGGTATAGTAATTTAATGGTATAGTAATTGTGAGTTCAATCCCTGAGCCCCGTAGTACAATCTCTGATTTGACGACAGGACTATCAATAACTGAGCAATAATAAAAAATAAAGTAGAAGACGGGATATACCTACGAAGACATGGAAATCGTAACAAAAACATAACACGTAGATTAAATAAAGTGTTCACTTCTAAATACCTTGAAAATTACGTGAACCAACATAAGAAATAGACGACTGGGTTCAATGGTCAAAACCTTGTGGTAGCCACAAAAATTAGGACATTAGCTCGAATTTAAATTATAATCGCTTCTCATCCCCCAAAATCAACAGGCTTCTTAATCATCACCTTCTGTGCAGGAGTTTGTTTGTTATTTAAAAAAGTTAAATTTAGTATTTTTGGTCGAGATGTACAAAGCATTGTTGGAAAAAGCATTTTGATGTAAAGTTGAATTTGGCTTCATGATCGTCTGCCTGTCGGCCATCATTTTGAGCAAGTTACAATGCTTCATGGTTAGAAATCTATATTTTTCTCTAAAAATGTTGTTAACTTGAATGGTTAAATAAATAAATGGAATGGGGGGGACGAAAAAAGAATAAGAAACGACAGCATTTTTTAAAAAACGAATTTTTGTAAATTTTGGTGAACGGGAAGCAATTATTACAATATTTTAAATAGATAGTAATATAACTTGATCGTTATTACATCATATTATTTGCGTATATACACGCACACAGACACACACACCATATATATATATATATATATATATATATATATATATATATATATATATATATATATATATATATATATTGTGAATTTGGGGGGCAATTGCTCTTTTTTGCAAGATTGATTAAAAACGACAGTTAAATTTTTATATAATGTTTCATGTGATCTTATAATTTTTTTAGATTTCAAAACATAAATTATATAAAATTTGTCCGAATATATTATATATCGAAGCGCTTTCGGCTATATTTTACATACATAAGATTATCAATATATTCGGTTAAAATTAAAATAAAATTCATTTTTTGATAATGGCTAAAAGGTATAGCCGAAAGTGCTTGTATATATAAAACATTTGGGCAATTTTATGTAATTTATGCTCTGAACATTAAAAAATTATAAGCTCACATGAAAAATTATATAACGAGTCTTTCATATATATATATATATATATATATATATATATATATATATATATATATATATATATATATTTATAATGTATTAGTGATTATATATATATATATATATATATATATATATATATATATATATATATATATATATATATATGCATACACACATACATACATACATACACATACGTATATATATATAAACAAATTCCAAGAGGATAGAATCCAAGTAGAACTCAATGTCCAGGACAGCGTAAGTAAAGTATTGTTGTATACGGAATAAATTACAATAACCAACAAATACTATACTTAAAAGAGTGCTCAATACAGTTTAGAGAAAATATAATTATTTTGTTTTGTCTCATCAAGTAATGGTGTTGAATGCATTTAACACCATCACTTGATAACGCCACCAGAAAAGGTTAAAACAAAATCGTAATTTTTGTAGTGATTTTATAACATATTTATGTTAGAAATTTCGAATAAATAATTTAAATTCAGAAATTCTTTAATAATAAAAGAAATCTGAACGAAGTAATGACCGTCCCTTAAAATAGGAAAAAAGTCTTGCTGGGCTCTTCGCAAAATATGGCTGTGCACTTTATGGCACACCGGATCAAACCGCAGTTCCTCCTAATCCTTAGCAAATATATATATTATATTAATTAAAGAATATCAAAGACTTAAATTTTGATATTCTTTAATTAATAATAATTTTGCTTTGTCTTTTGACATAGAGCTCTCCCTGTATCGAGATCCACCTAGAATTTCCTTACGGATTACCATATTGTACCATTACTAAACACACAGACACACACATACATATATATATATATATATATATATATATATATATATGTGTGTGTGTGTACACATATATATATATGTGTGTGTGTGTGTGTGTGTGTGTGTGTGTTTGTGTGTAGTAATGATACAATATGTTAATCGATATCAGCAATTAATAGTATTTTCAATATTTTTAGCTTATTACTCTAAGCGTTGTATTTAATGGGTTTAGTTATTTGTGTATCAGTTCAAATATTTGTACACCTAACGTAACGCTTATAGAAATAATCAGAATTATAACATATATATATATATATATATATATATATATATATATATATATATATGTGTGTGTGTGTGTATAATAAATCCTATGGTATATAATGTATCCTTGTAATAATAGGTTGAATAAGACTGACGAATGTGTGTGTGTGTGTGTGTGTGTGTGTGTGTGTTTGTTTGGGGAGATGGCGTAATACATTTTAACAAGCTTTTAACTTTACATAATTTATAACATTTATTATGATTTATTCATCAATTTAAAAAAAAATACAGGTGCGTTCATATAACACACGCTAAGACAGAACTGGTCAACTATTATTCAATAAGTTGCCTTTTCTACTAAGTAGCGAATAATTTTCATTTGCACGAGAATTTCATACTCTCAAATGTGCATATATATATATATATATATATATATATATATATATATATATATATATATCTGTCTCGTCGCTTTTTTGTGTGTATATATATCTAAATATGTCCGGGTGCTTATGTATTATAATCTGATTGTGTTGTGTTGTTTCTCGCGTGTGTTTAAGACCCCATTCACACACTTGAGTTAAAATATATATACATGTATTGTCGGATGACCGGATATTGTAGCGTCTGTTCTAACGTAATTTCAATGATGAATAACATATGTATTTTTTCTTTTTCCTCAGTAATTTTATAGTTTTTAAATTTAATAGTGATTAAATTTGGATTTTAAAATTGGCAGTTTTTAATTGTAAATATCAAATTTTATCATATAATTTAATAATTATTGGTTAGAATAAATTCTTTTTTAATATTACCCGTATTTTAAAGATCTGAATAGCTATTATAACATGATTTCTTTGTCAAGCTTTTGAATCTTCCTATCCTTGGGTTTTGATTGGTCATTCTAGCTTCTGTAACAATGTTTTCCCCTAGCGAAGTATCGTTAATTAATTTGAAACTTATAAAACCATTTATTTTGTATTCAACACCATCACTTGATAAGACACCGAGGGTGTTAAAACAAAATGGCTATTTTTGTAGTGATTTTATAACATTTATTTTAGAATTTTTTTTTAAAAAAATAATTATATATATATATATATATATATATATATATATATATATATATATATATATGCTCATTTGCGGGTACTGAGCAAGAATGACGACTGACGTCAATAATATTTTACGATTTTCTCTGTTTCAATGTCCAGTCTGAAATAGTGGTTCTATGCCTGATGAACCAATGCGCTTCTGACCTACTGAACGACTGTTTACTATTTTTTGCTCTGGCGTTTTTCCCCCCCAAGCCGTTGAATTTTAATTCTACGATTTTCATTTCGCTAAATTGGCCAAGTGCCAGACTCTGATATGAACCATAGTTGGAAGCCAAGCTAGAATCGAAGCCAGTTTGAAATCCCATCATTTCTTTATTCATGAGGTTCTTGTACGTCTATAATTGCTTGTTTCACATTGTATAATTTAAAGGTTCTTTCAAATTAAGGTGGTTGCTACGCATCCCTTATGACAAAGATTCAGAATAATGTTTGTTTGATGAAAAAACAAAAACAAAGATTGAAACTATTTTCTCCGGTCCCCCTTACAAAAAAAAAGGAAAAAAAAAAACAAAAACAAGGAAAAACATTTGGATTCGTTTAAATGGTCAATAATCTTCCTTGGAATCAGTACATCTTTGCAGCTGTAAAATTTGTCCACATCTATCTATATTGCTCTGGTCATATCTATCTTGGTATACTTATATCTATCCATCTGTCTCTTTCTCTCTCACCTCTCTCTCTTTCTCTTTCTCTCTCTCTCTATATATCTACATATATATATATATATATATATATATATATATAGAGAGAGAGAGAGAAAAAGATATATATATATATATATATATATATATATATATATATATATATATATATATATATAGCCTC